TGGTCAGGCTATAATAGTCGTTTTACTGATGTATTATAAAATTTCATACCTAATAAAAATTCCTTAGAAGAAAATATTAAAAGTGACTTTAGATGAAGTAATTGCTTACTTCTGAAATATATTGTGATAACGACGGACAACTAAGGAACCCTACACTGCGCGTGGCACGACACGCACTTGGCCAATTTTTTTACTTAAGATTTAACCCAGTTTTCTGGCAAACTATTTCTCTATTTGTTGTCGAAAAAAATACGTGATATTTCCCGAGGCCCCCCCCTCTCCCCCACGTGAGATTTGGTGAGGTTTTTGTTGACCCCCTCCCCCCCCTAAAAGCCTCACGTAATTTATGGACGCCCCCTTAGCTCGACGAACGTTAGCGCGACAGAACTATGGGGCGACAAACGAAAGCACGACAGGACTTTGGAGCGACAAACCCTAGCGCGACATTACTTAGGCACGAAAAACGATTGCACGACAGAATCTCTGATCGACGAACTATACTGTGGCACAACGTGAATGTATAATATCATAGTCTAAGGTCGATATGCAGTCTCTTCGCGGAAGTTCTTCATAGTCTAGCAGTTACCTGTAAAGGGCTATTACTATAAAAAAAATACCTATCCTTGGACATTTCGTTTAAAATTCATCATTTCAATTTCTACCCGGCCGGGAATCGAACCCGGGACCTCTCGGCATAGTAGTCCGTTCCGAACCACTACATCAAACGGCCGACATAGACATGGTGATGAAGCATAGTAACAAGGTAATAAAAAATATATGTTTATATAGAAATTATAAGGTTTATTTTAAATCTTACATGTTCAACTTAATGTGACATAAGTTTTCAATGTGTAACATAAGTAGGTATCACTTAACATTAAACTAAAATGACATGTTTACTTTCAATTATAAATAAATGTTAACAAAAATGTACTCTCCGTATTAAAAGATTTTATTCACCTAACTTTGTTTTTATACAGGGTGGAATTTTGTAGTGCCACCTGGAGGGAAAGTACTCTTAATACTGAAGATAGAAAATTTTACGCAAAGAAAACATTCCTTTATTTTTGAAAAGAAAGAGAACTGCATTCAAAGATTTCAATAAGACTCTCCAAACTCATTAAATATCAAAATTCCCGATATTTTCTGAACACACCTCGTATATGCACATAAAATATAGTAACATAAGGCCAACTTAATGCCATTTGGCATTTTCCTCCAGTTAACCTTGGGGCGAAATTAAAAATATTTTAAATGATTGATATGTATACATTCACGTTGTGCCACAGTATAGTTTGTCGATCAGAGGTTCTGTCGTGCAATCGTTTGTCGTGCCTAAGTAATGTCGCGCTAGGGTTTGTCGATCCCAAGTCCTGTCGTGCTTTCGTTTGTCGCCCCATAGTTCTGTCGCGCTAACGTTCGTCGAGCTAATGTGCAGTCGCGCCATCGATTGTCGGCATAACGTACTGTCGCCACAACGTTTGTAGCACCTTTGTTTGTCGCAACTATGATATACACTCGTTCAAACGGCTGTCCAGTTTTGCGAGGATGTTGCATTACTGAATCCCGCAAAACTTGATTATCGTGGCAACGAGCCCCAATACCAGGGCCGCGCCGACCGCCGGTAGCGCCTGTGTGCGGAACCTATGAAGCGCCTCTTTTCTAATGAATCGTCATAAAAAAACGAATTTAAATTATTTTAACGAATATTTTAATTGTTAATTTTGACTAAAATAATAAATAAATAAATAAATATATCTTTGGACAATTTCACACAGCGCCAGGCCAGCTAGCCCCAAAGTAAGCAACTTAATGCTTGTGTTATGGGTGCTANAAAAGTAGAAAGGTTAAGTAAGTAAGATTACAAGTAGAAAGTACATCCACTTAATTTGCTCTTACATAATACAGTTTTTAAAAGCCAATTATTTTTAATATAAAAATAAACTTCGAAAAAAAGTGCATTCACGCTTTTTAGTACAATAAGTCTCAACTGACACTAAACTCAAAAGATCGTTAGTCAAAATTACTAGGAAATCATTAAAAACAATTGTAAAGCGTAGCATTTGTGTGATTTATGCATACAAAACATACATACACTCGAAAAAACACAACAGTCGGGTAATAATGACACCTTATGGTACTACAGTAAGGTGAATCCTTTACTCATCTAGCTTTTTCATTGTTCAAATTTGTATGATGACTATCCTAACTTAATTAGGTAATACGTTATTAATTTATAGCATGTTTTCATTTTGTTAGATCTTCTTTTAATTATCTTTTACCTGACAAATACCTAGTTTCGTCAAATATGAGAAATAATAAAAAGCATCATTACTTTAGCCGATGTGGATAGATGTCATCATTTTTTTATGTGCAAATCACATAAACGTTACACTCTAAAATAGTTTTATTACATATTTTTGATGATTTTTTAGTTCTTTTGTTTGTTCTAAACGCACATACTTAAATACAATAAGAAACGTCTATAAAATTTACCTACTCAGTTGTTTTAATATCCTCTCTTTGTAGATTTTTAAAATATTTGTTTAGATAATCTAAGGGCGTAAAGTACAAATTAATTAGACTTTGGTATGAAAATTTGGGTTGTATAGGACAATAGATTATACTACATGTACATTATACGCCCAAAAATTTGTGTTTACTTGTTCTTTACTACCATGCTAACTGTACAAAAAAATCAAATGGTATTTACATCCCAATTTTCACGATGAATTCTGTTTAGCTTATCAAAAATGATGGGTCGTAAAGGCACTTTTTTTGAGAATTTCGACAAACTAAATATACAGATCGATAGAGAATTAATAAATTCTGAGTACAACTGTATAAAAAACTCATTTTCGGTATTTTGTCCTTTACGACCTTTGAGCCCAGAGGTATCGATATAAGAAAACAGTGATCAAATTCATTAAGATTTGTTACATCTACTTTATGAGATTTCAACTTTATTTAACCAGGAGGACCAGGAACCAAACCACCGNGCCAGGTAGCTCACCAGCTTCTCCAGGTTCACCAGGCAGTCCAGGCACACCAGCCACTCCAGGAACACCAGGTACACCAGCTACTCCAGGAACACCAGGCACACCAGCCACTCCAGGAACTCCAGGCACACCAGCTACTCCAGGCACTCCAGGAACACCAGCCACTCCAGGCACTCCAGGAACACCAGGCACACCAGCTACTCCAGGCACACCAGGCACNTTTGCGAATTAAAAGTTTGCAATAAGTTGTTTTGCCAAATGAGAATTTGCCAAATGAAAATTTGCGAAACGTTGTTTGCGATGTGATAATTTGGGAAACGTTTTTTGGCCAAACATTAGTAATCCACTGTACCTACTTACTTATCAATATGTACTCCATTTAAAAAAAATAGGTGGCAGTAGCGGCGCGGCGCCCCTATTGTCTTGGCGCCTGTGTGCGCCGCACACATCGCACACAGGGGCGGCGCGGCCCTGCCCAATACCTTGAGTTTCTTGAACTGAACCTTCTCAGCACTGGCCTATTTAATTTTAGGGGTGAAGTTTCGTAAAATCCTTTCTTAGCGGATACCTACATCTACCTGCATGCCAAATTTCAGCCCGATCCGTCCAGTGGTTCGGGCTGTGCGTTGATAGTCAATATGTCAGTCAGTCAGTCACCTTTGAGTTAAAATACCTAACTTTTTTTTAAATTGATTAAGTATGTCTTTTGTTGCCAAATAAACTATTTTATTCTATTCTTTTTTGTCTCCTTCTTTTTTAAATAACATAGCCACACGTGTCATGCTTTTTACACAGTTCCTATTTCTGCCTACATACAATAATACATTTTTGCTTTAATCAAACAAACGTACAATGTTTGTCCAATTGTTCGAAACCAAACAATAAAATTAACCTTTATTAGGTATTAATTACGAATATATTTGGGTATTTTTCACTTGGACGCACACGGCCAAGTAGTTAGGACAAATTTAAGTCCTTTGGACGAATTTTGTTCCTAGTTTCTAAATAGCTGTGAAAAAATCAGTTCTGACAATGAAGAATCAGATTTTGTTTGCGTTTCTGTTTGGATTGAATGTAAGTACTTACAAGTGTTTGTGTGAACTAGGTTTTGAACGTGACTTCACCCGCGTATGTTTAGAAAAGAGCTAATTAATTATTCTGTGAATTAGCTTTGATATTTTAAAGTTTCATCGAATTCCGTCACTTATTGTGTGAAGAAGTACCTAAATGATACTATTATCGAAGAAGGCTATCAATTCAATATACCTATTAGGCTAGAAGGGCTAACATCACCCTACAGCCAATTAGGGGCGGAGCAGTGAAGAAAAATGTTGCAAAAACGGGAAATAATTTTTAAACCATTTTCGCGTACGAAATAGCGGGCACAGTTTTGTAGTTGAAACCATTACAACTTGTAAAGAAACAGTACCTAAGTATGTACCTCTTTACGTTACAAAAAAATCTGATAATAATAATTTAGTGTGAACTCTTGAAGTAATAGAGCAACCTCCCAGCAATTCTATAGAAATTAAAAACTATTTAGCCCTTTAAGTTCATGTCCCTAATACCTACATTATTAATACGTACCTATACTTACCTAGGCCTACCATCTATCAGCTGGTGATGAGAAATAGCATTTAAGTATAAAAACAGCTAGGTTTAGAACTTTCCTTAACTTTTAGGGATCTAGCCAAAAGTGTTGAAGAAACCTGATGCTCTCATGTTTGTCTCTTACGCCCGTATTCACAAATGAGGTCTCACAGTGCGCGTGGACGCACAGGGTGACACACGAACTAATCAAAGAGCTCTATTCAACGCTGTGCGTTCGATATACTGCGTCACTTATGCAAGCATCGTGAATACGGGTGTTAGTCGCCTCTTACGACATCCATGGGAAGAGTGGGGGTCGCCCTATTCTACTCTGCCGATTCCGAACGGTAGAAATATAGGAGACTAGACTATCTTACGCGGTTTAGATTTTTTCATACAAATGTTTTTCCCGCTAACTCCCGTTCCCGTGGGATTTTTGCAATATTCTGTTGTAACTAAGCTTTAAGTTTACTAAGGTACCTGCATGCCAAATTTCAAGCGTCTAACTTAAGCGGTTTGGATTTTACATACGAAAGGATTTTCCCTCTAATTCCCGTTCCCGTGGGAATTTCGGGAATTCCTTTCTTAGTGCACCTCTACGGTACCTAAGCTACGTCCCTTCCAAATTTCAAGTGCCTACGTTTAGCCGTTTAGGCTGTGCGTTGATATGTCAGTCAGTCAGTTTCTCCTTAAAATAATTTTATTAAAACAGTTTCTATTTGTTTCAGATACTCTACTACGTAGAAGCATATCCAACTCAACATGGTTAGTTTTAAATAAGACAATAACAGTAGCTAAACTATCATAAGATTATTTAGTGCTTTTAAGAATTTTTAACAAAAAAAAAATGCCTCACGTAGGATTTGAACAACTTTTTTCTTTCCAAGCAACTGCTTTAAAACCTGGAGCAAGTTGCAAGTTGTAAAAAATAGTTTGATAAAGTCGAAAGCGCTTATAGCGCTTAACCCAGACAGTGTCAGAGGTATGGGGGCGGCACGGGATGGGTGACATTGACATAATAATATTATGTCACATAAGTATGAAGGAGCTCTGAAGTCTCGATGACGTTTGACATTACAAAAACAATAGTATAGTTCCAAAATACTGAACTGTCCTGTGCATGACATTGACAATGGGGCGCCAGCGCCACCGTCAATACCGAATCGCTAGTTCCGATTTTTACCATGTTGGAAACCATATAGTTGACCGATGGTAGCGCCCCCCTGTCATTGAGTTTGGCGGGACAGTTCAGCGTGGGTCATCTATAAATGTATGTGTAAAAAAAATCTCCCGTGCCGCTCCCATGCCTCATTCACTGACTGATTAAAGCGCTAACCTATATCATTATATTTTTTCCAGAACCAGCCGACAATACCGTCTACAGCATCAAGCACTGCATCAAAATGACCCCCGAAAACGAGGACAAAGTGAACAACATCGTCGTAAAAATCAGCGACTTTCTGTACAATCTGACAGTCGAGTACGATGACATTGACATACGCCTGCTAAAGATCATCATCGAAGGCCATTCAGACAACGAAACTGAGGAAAAAGACACTCAAGTCAAACTGTTGGTTAACGACTGCGACCACGTCCAAGAATTCGCCGATGCTGAAGCGTTAGAAGAAATGATTAACCAGCAAACCGACGAAGAAGATATTTACGAGAAAACTGGATCGGTGGAAGTCGATGATCAGCCGGATAGTCCAAGTGATGATTCTAACGAATTACAATTCGATGACGACATCTTCAATTTCACGCAGCTAAATGATGATGCTTCTAATAATGCTACCAATGATAATGACGGCAACAATGATGTCACATCTAATGTAGATCAAGCACAGAATGTTACAGCATTGACTGACAATTCTGCAGTAGACGTTGAAGGAATTCCACCAACTTCTGAAGCAAATTATGATGTAAAAGGTCCAGTTTTAGTTCGATTGGATTTAGACAAGAAGGGAAATAAACTGGTCAAAGGAACTCAAAAGAAGAGAGGAGAGCATGTTCCCCTCTTGCTCTATATCCAAAAAGTTTTGGGCAACACAGAATACTTGTTCGGTAATTAACCTAAATTAATAAGAGATGGTCCAAAAAATATAGAACTAATTACTAATTTATTACTAATATTGCAAAAAGTAGTAAAAATCTCAATAACTTTTTTGATACAAACTTTATCTTTTTACTTCTCATTGATTTCGACATGAAGCTTTCGGTGGGGTAAAATGTGCTTTATAATGAAACTACTGACCCATTTATTTAGTCCAAATCGATTCTGGGCGTTTGTTTCTGTGGACCTTCTCCTTTTAAAGTAATAACCCAATTTTAACACAGAATGTCTTGAAGTATTTGTTATTTAGCTTCTTGTATAGGTCTGATTTATCGGAACTACCTAGGTGTTTTGTATGCAATAAAAACATTGATTGTGTATTATTAGTTGTTTTATTTTAGTAATTTAAGCTTAAAAAATACTTCTTTATCTAACAATAAGTAATCATTTTATCGGTAAATATTATTTGCTCGACAATGGTTGTTTTTTTTTTTCTAAGTAGGTACCTAGACCGTATTCCTTGAAGTATGCAGGGTTGTTTTTAAATTACAGTAGGAATTGTACCTAAGTACCTATTCATGATTACGAAATATTAACTATCCAATTACTTTTACTGTAGAGTCAAAGGTTAAGGCTTTAAACCCATATGGCATTATCTTCCAGTCAACCTTTGAACCAAATAGACTATTAGATAAGTAATTGCAGAAATACCTTTTACGATTTAGTCTTTAAGAAAAAAGAAAAGAAAGATTTATTTGGTACTCAAAATAAGACAATTAATACAAAATTAATCATAAGAGCTTTACTTTATAGGCAGGTCATAATTACTATTTAGGTACTTAGTTAAAATCAGGATGGCAACTCTCTTTAATCTTCTGTAGGTATTTCATGCCCTTTATACATGCATGTTTGCAAATAACAATAGCTATGAATAGAACAGTCTTTGTAATCATACCTATTATAAGAAGACTACCTTCATTAAATTAAAATAGACAATAAAGAATTGAGTATTGAGTATTAACAAAACAATACATATCTAGCTGTAGCAGTAATTAATATTTAAAATTACCTATTATAAAGTAGCTATCAACAATAATCTCAGGCGTAGTTTAAACACTACTTTGACAAACGTCAAAAATCTGTCAAATTCCATACAAATACACCGGTTATCGTTAAAGTTACCGTCAAAGTTAGGTGGTGCAACTGAGCCTTACTGTTACATTCGTTCGTTTCAAGCAATGAAGTGATAATAGCCCAATAGTGTTGATGTCGGACTGGCTGATTCAAGATCCTGAAAGCGGGTTCGAATCCCATCGCCGCTCGACTATTGTGGTGAGCCCACTCGTAACGCAAGCTTAATAATTAGCTTACCTTGAGGTAACTTACGATATTATTATTAATAAGTGTATTTAAATAAAAAAGACGTCCACTGCTGGTCAAACGTCCGTATACACAAACATATTTACTATGAGGTCACAGTGAGACCTCATAGAATAGGTCTCACAGTGCGCGTGGACGCAAAGGGTCACACACGAACCAATCACAGAGCTCTATTCACCGCTGTGCGTTTGATTTACGTTTGACAGAGTCTGGCACGGCAGCCTAATAAACAAGCTTCCATCTTTTGGAATCCCTGCTGGCTTATGCAAATGGATCTCCGATTTCCTTGTGGGACGATCAATAAGAGTAGTCCTTGAGGGCTACACTTCTAGTCAGCAACCTATTGACGCTGGCGTCCCTCAAGGGTCGGTGCTGTCTGCAACACTGTTTCTACTGCACATCAATGATCTGCTCAAACCCGGTACCTTTGGGTATGCAGATGACACAACAGTGACAGCCAAATATCCAGCGCAAAAGCCAGCGGGCGTGAGGTCGAGTCTTGTCGTGAGTCCCTTATCGAACGCTTAAATTTGGCCCTTCAGGATGTCTCTGATTGGGGCGATGCCAATCTGGTCCAATTTAACGCGTCCAAAACACAGGCGTGTCTGTTCTCCGCCAAACGAAGTCCATTTCGTCTGGCTCCAACATTCCGAGGTGTGCCTGTTAAAATCACCGAGCGACTTCAACTTTTGGGTATCGAAATGTCCAGCAAGTTGAACTTTGGCGAGTACATCGAATCCATAGCGAAAACTGCTGCCAAAAAACTTGGTATCCTCTCGAGGGCAAGGCAGTACTTCTCCAATAAGCAAAGGCTGCAGTTATATAAAGCACAGATCCGACCTTGCATGGAATACTGCTGCCACCTCTGGGACGGCTCTGCCAAGAAATATTTGGCTGCTTTGGATTCGGTGGAAAGGCGTGCCAGGAGACTAATCGACAGCCCGACCCTTGTTGAAGCGTCGCTCCAGGAACTTGACCACCGCCGTAAAGTTGCTTCTCTAACGGTTTTCTACAGGCTACACTTCGGAGAATGTGCGAAGGAATTATATAACTTAATTCCACCAGCCCCTTTCCATCACCGGGGAACCAGACGCAGGCTAGCGTAACATCCCTACATTGTCGACATTCCACCAGCTCGCACTAAGCGTTTCGACGATTCGTTTATAATGCGAACAGCTAGGGACTGGAATTCGCTGCCTGCTGCTGTATTTCCTGAACACTATAATCCGGGCGTTTTCAAGGCGAGAGTGAATAGGCACTTACAGGGCAGATATGTACCATCCTAGACTGCATCTCACTTAACACCAGGTGCGATTGCGGTCAAATACCTGCCTTGGCTAGCATAAAAAAAAAAAAATTTGCTGCTCAATGAGTGAATTCTATCATCATCGGTTGCCCAACACCCTGATGCGTGTGCTTGATATTATTCTGTAGCTCGACTTTCGCCTGGCGCGGCAACCTCATAAAAAGCCGGACAAGACAATTTTAGGCCAGACACGACCGTAAAAAGCCAAACATGTCCGGCCGGACACCTATCAACCCTAGGCCCTTATCATCTGGAAAAAGGTCTGGATGGGGGCCCCCTCGGTCGCAGTGCCCTGGGCAAGTGCCCAAAGTGCCCAGTGGGAAAGAGGGGCCTGGCAAGAATGATGATTATGGCCCCCTATGGCGTGGAAACCCTCCTACATTATTCTGTTTAATTCATTTTGGAATCCAAGACAGCTATCTCCTGGGACTACTCAACCTTCACTGGGTTGGGTTTCATTGACAAACTCTGGATCCTGGCTTCACAAGTTGCAGAAAGAAAAGTGGGATTAAGGTCCAGCGCTTAACTCTTTTAGTGACTGAGGGGTAATTTTGACATGAACGTGACAGGGCATCCCGCCGGATAGCCCGACGGATTAGCAAGCTGAAGTGGCAGTGGGCAGGGCACAAAGTACGCAGAACTGACGGCCGATGGGGCAGCAAGGTTCTGGAATGGAGGCCGCGTACCGGAAAACGCAGCGTGGGACGTCCACCCACAAGGTGGACCGATGACCTGATAAAGCTGGATGCAGGCCGCTACCAACAACCGTGCGATGCGGAGGGATTGGGGGAGGCCTATGTTCACCAGTGGACGTCCTGTGACTGAAATGATGATGACAGAGCGTACAAATCTGAAGTCTCGCTGACATTTGACGTAACAAAAACACCCTCCCGTGCCGCCCCCATACGTAATACCATATGCGCAAGACGTATATATATGACCCACGCTGAACTGTCCCACCAAACTCAATGACAGGGGAGCGCTACCATCGTTCAACTATATGGTTTTCAACATGGCAAAAATCGGAACCAGCGATCCGGTATTGACGGTGGCGCCCCACTGTTAATGTCATGGATAGGACAGTTCATTTTGAAACTATAATCTCGTTTGTAGTTCGCAATAAAGTCATAGCAGACTTATCAACTCGGAAAGGGATCAACACCGTATCGCCTTTCGCGAGCTGTCATCGCCTTTCGCGCGCTGTCAACCGCCAGGCGAGGCGTTCACGTTACGGTGCGGGTGTGCGTTGCAGTATGGAGTTTCATACAAGAATACTGACCGCCTCGAGTTGATACGGTTACGATCCCTTTCCGTGTAGATAAAGTTAAATGTGCTATATCCTACTCGTACTAGCCAAGCAACAATCTTCAAAAGAATCGAGAATACTCGGAAAGTCGAGCAGACTATTATTAATAACAATGAGTATTGACATTATTAATGCGTAAAACCTACATCAAATAATGGCGTTTTGTATAAACAGCTACACGATTATGGTCCCGAACAATACCTCGCCAGCTGGCCAAATAACGAAATAGCGTAATTGTATAAAAGCGTATTAATGTTATTAGGTATTGTTATACATAAAGCCACTGGTTCTCAACATGTTTTTAATTAGGTACCTATAGCTTCGTCCTATTTGCATAGTGTAATTTAATCAGATCAATTCTATTATGTTTACCTACTTATAACCGGGCTATTCCCACCTCTCGTTCCCACCGCTGCAACTCCTTGTGTCCTATCCTCCTCCTTGACACCAATAACCCAACCAGTGAAGATCAAGTTTGTCCCGGAGGAAAGCTAAACTGTCATTGGACCCGCAACGAAATTAATCAGAAGAACATAGGAGGAGTTTGACGAAGTATTTTAAAGTATGAATGATGTTACATGGGCTGATGGGGCAGCAAGGTTCTGCAGTCCGAAAACGTCCACCCACAAGGTGGTCCGACGACCTCATAATAATTGCAGGAAGGTGCTGGATGCAGGCCGTTACAAACCAGGCGATGTGGACGTCCTGTGGCTGAAATGATACGTTATATTATGTTGTCCTCTCTCTTCCATTGAATTTCGGTAAATTACATATTATGTGGCACTTTACGAGACCAGACCGAGGACTAATGGAATTTGATGTTCGACTGTTTTGTTAAAGCCTACACTCATACACGTTCACGAACACTTTTAAGCTCATAGCAGCCTTATCAACTTGGAAAGGGATCACTCGCGCTGTTACGAACCTTTTCCGGGTTGATAAATGTGCGACGTCCTTTAATGGTAAAAATCCTCCAACTTCACATTTATTATTCCACTAAACACAAGTTCTTTCATAAATCATACCTAGACGCTATGTTGAGAAGCAATATTTAGAACTAATGAGGGTTTTCGCAAATGAAAGATCCGCTAGATGGCGGGACGTGGATGTGGGGTCTGACTGCTGCGTGATTGGTGGATTTTGACATATCTGTTAATGTCATGTCAAAAATAACCAATCATGCAGCATTTGGACCTCGCGTCTACTTATTGCCATCTGGCGGATTTTTCATTCGCGAAACCCCTCATTCTCCACCTAAAAACTCAACAATACTGTTAAAAAAAACAAACATTATTAACATTGTTATGCCCGTTATGGCGACAGATTTAGGTAAGACTAGCTTTTGTCCGCGGCTTCACCCGCGTGAAATTTCGTTTGTCACAGATCGTCATAAACTATAGCCTATATGTTATTCTGGGTTATAAACAATCATACTGTAAAGTTTCATCAAAATCCGTTCAGTAGTTTTTGCGTGAAAGAGTAACAAACATCCAGACATCCAAACTTTCGCATTTATAATATTAAGTAGGATGGTGATAGCTAACCAAGCGGACTTAGAAAATTGCCTTACCACAAATCAATCCGAGCAGAAAACGGGAGGGAATCGAACCCGGGACTCCGGGACAGGGTATAAGACTGTGGTGTCACCACTAGACCACAGAGGCGGAGGAAACAAATTACTTTATGTAGCCTATCCAAATACTTACATAGTTCGTTTCAGCCAAATGACGTCCACTGCTGGACAAAGGTCTCCCCCAGCCTTAGTTAAATACTAAATAGCTTAGGAACTCCATGTAAAATCTTTTACACTCTGTATGCATGTTGGAAAATAGCTAAATAGTACCACTTCTTAATAAGGACAGGACCTTTATCAAACAATACCTACCTACTTATCTACTAGCGGTAACTATTGTTTCGTATTAATTTCTTTCTTATTAAAATTAACTTCTACCCACTATTACAATAAGTTATAATGCGAACAGCTAGGGACTGGAATTCGCTGCCTGCTTCTGTCATTCCAGAACACTATCTGGCCTTTTCAAGGCGAGAGTGAAAAGGCACTTACGTACCTGTACCATCCTAGACGGCATCTCATTTTCAGGAGCAATTGCGGTCAAATATCTGCCTTGTTCAGCATGAAAAAATTGAAGGCTTACTTATGCCCCGTTTTCACCATCAATCCCTAATTTTTAAGTGACCCTTCAGATAACAGACCATTGGTAAAATAAATAAAATAGTAAGATTTTCTAAACATATCTAAATATAGTACCAACCTAATATTAGTTTAGTAAAACAGGACTGCGTAGTAGTAAGAGGTACGGAACTATTTCCACCTCTCGTTCCCACCGCTGTGCAACTCCTGTGTAGCCAGGATCTACAGCTTGACCGCCAATAACCCAACCAGTGAAGGCCAAGTTTGTCCCGGGGGAAAATTAAACTGTCATTGGACCCGCAACGAAGTAAATACATAATGTTCCATTAGGTATACCTACTTACCTAAATAATGTCGTAAATATAGAAAATCGAAATCATTGTGTACTTTGGGTAGTAGTTTAGTGTTAATAATCAAATTGTTATTACGTTTTGGACAGTGACGTCATCAGTAAGACCAATATTAGTAAAAATTCACGCGAAATAATACAATATTTTCACAACAATAAATTGTCCATAATCAAACATGTCAATTGATTATTTATTCGCTCATTATTTATTACTGATCCCGAACAATGGCGCTGTTTAATCAATTGTTACAATTATTTATTAGTTTACTATGAACGTGAGTGGTAATTATTTGTATTGGTCCACTTTTGAGTATAAAAACTGAGTTTTTGAGTCGGAAAAGTATAGTCATTTTGACTTCATCGGTCTATATAGGACTTATATCCATAGGCCAAAATGCGTGGGACAGCGGTGATTTGGTTGTGCGCTCTCAGCGTAAGTAAACTTTTATCTTTTTAACTCATCTTGTTCTTCTGACTGTCTTAACATCTGATTGGGCTCCTAAGATTCATCTTAGAGTACCACAAGTTAGAATTATCTCGGCCATCACTGGTTGGGTTTTGCTGGTCAAACTCCTGTACAGTCAGGATCTACCAGGCTGTACAGGCGTGGCAGCGGTGGAAACGAGGGGAAATAGCCCTGTCATCCCTCGTGCCATCATTATTTCCACAATCATCCTTTGAGCTAGACCGTTTAACATCTGAACCCCTATTTTTTATTGCCCCTAGACGTATTTCCTTGTTCAAATTACTTAGAAGTGTGTAGAAAAGCTTCTACCTATATTTTTACCCGACTGTGCCAGAAAAAGGGTTATTTATGAATGCTTCATACCTTATTTGTACACCTTTGCCACGAAGTTATCATAGTGAAACTTTATCAACACATCTGCATGGATCTAGTACCACGATTATTAAAACCCTTAATTAAAACTTTGTTTCTCACCTGTTATCTGCTTTGCAATGGAAGGAAGTTGAACCTTCACTTCGAACTCCTCCTATGTTCTTCTGATTAATTTCGTTGCGGGTCCAATGACAGTTTAACTTTCCCCCGGGACTTGACCTTCGTTGATTGGGTTATCAAGCTGTAGATCCTGGCTACACAGGAGTTGCAGCGGTGGGAACGAGAGGTGGGAATAGTCCCGTTTAGTACACGATGCTATTGTCTGAACACGAAATTTTGTGCTACTGGAATTCGTCCGCCACTTCTCAGCACCATCTTATATGCTGTCTTAAACAGCTGGCAAACTATGTTAAAATGATTGTTTAAAAGTACCATGAAAAGAGCTTCATCATTATCATCATTTCAGCCATAGGACGTCCACTGCTGAACATATTATTAGGGGAGAATAATTTCCACAATGGCCGGTTGGTCTGCATCCAACGCCTTCCTGCTACGTTTATGGGGTCGAATTTAAAAGAGCTTACTAATAAACAATTTGAATTACTTTTGCTGTCAAGATTTCGCGGTATTTAGAGGTTAATTCCTTTCTTATCCTTATGAACTTTTTTTTAACTTAATCTTATGTTTTCATTTTTCAGGTACTGAGCGCGAGTGCTGCTCCGCAAAGTGAGTAAAAAACCCAAATTTAGATATTTTAGTCTAGTTTATAGATATTAACTCTTTCTGAATAATGAACTTTCTGGAAAGGACCTTCATCTGGGGGCACGGCAGTGCCCCCACCAAGTCGAGCAAAAAAGCGGCACGGCCGTACCATCCTTTTCTCGAAGCAATTCAGGCCATTTTCGACTGCCTGTAACTTCGTTGTGGATAAAACTAGAAGGCTGAATTTTCATTAGCTATGCAGGCATTGTAAAGACACGGTATATTTAAAATTTCATTCAATTTGAACCAGTAGTTTAAGAATTATAACGGGTCAAAGTTACTTAATTTTGTCACTCACTGACTGACTCACTGACTCACTGACTCACTCACTGACTCACCGATCATCAAAACTCTAAGGCACTTCTAGCAGACCTAGAAGCTTCAAATTTGGAATATAAGTAGTGTTTGGTGTATGAATCAAGGAAAAACTAAAATATTTGGGGGCACGGTAGTGCAACCGCCAAGTCGAGTAAAATTTTTCAATTTCGGTCCAGTTTTCTAGATACATAACTGCTGTCTACAAAATACAAAAAGAAATGAGATCCCATCAAAAACAATACTTGTCAAAAAAACCAAGTCTCGCAACTCAGTTGTTCTACGGTAAAAAGTTGTGAGATCCATGTAATACCAAGTCCAGGCCAGGAAATCTTTAACGTTTTACATAAATATATTGACTTGGCCATCGCATAAAAACACGTGTAAATTAAATTATTTAGTGCGATGGCCAAGTCAATAATTTATGTAAAACGTTAAAGATTTCCTGGCCTGGACTTGGTATTACATGGATCTCACAACTTTTTACCGTAGAACAACTGAGTTGCGAGACTTGGTTTTTTTGACAAGTATTGTTTTTGATGGGATTATGTTTATCTCCCTCACTCACCCATGCCTGTGCCCATGTTGGCATGAGTAAGAAAGAGAGATAGAAAGACAGAACGGGTCCATTTGGACAAAATTAGTGTCCGTTTAGTAAATTTAAAAAGCTAAACTTTTTACTTGTATATTGCTTATGCATAGACAATATTGTTTAGCAGTATTTAGCCGTTACAGATTTAAATATTGCTTACCAACTTTAATGATTGGCATCTTTCTTTGTTGAGATGTTTGAGAAAAAAACACTTTTCGGGAACATTAGAATTTAATCAATTTTTAATTTGAATGCAATAAGCAATATTCCAGAAAGATTTTGTCTATCTAATACCATCAATGTAGGTAGGTAATTGAAAATTATAGTCCACGCCAATAGGCTTTTTGCAAACAAATACCTTAACTCTATGTCCTTAATTGAATTTGAATTTATTGACTTCAAAAAATCTAGTAAAGAGAAGAAGATTTTAAAAACAATGCCTCAAAAAGTATTAAAAAAGTTCAATTCGCGTGTGATATAATAAAGTTTACCATAAAACGATATTAGTCTCAAATTTTGGCATTTCAAGCTATGTAATTCAGGCGTTCACTTTAGTGAGCTTTCGTAGCCTAGTTAGTAAGATAAACCGCGAATATTTCGTTTGATATTCCTGGAAAGGTGGTCACTTTAATTTCCAGAATAACTTTTTTATTTTATTTATTAAAGTATGTATTTTCCAGACCAAGAATATGAACTTGAGTCCAGTAGTGGTGAGTTTCTGAACATTTTCTTGTATTTTAAGCTTTTTGATGATTTAATAATTCATTTAAAGTAACGTTGCTATATTTTATGTTATTAGTTTTTTTATTAATGTAATAAGATATTAAAAATTAATATTTTGTTGTAGAATTTGATGAAATGGAGTCGGACGTCGAAAGTAAGTGCGCTAGATAGTAATGAATTGAATTTAATGTGAAAATGAGTTCCTTTGTTTAATTAGATATTTATAGAAGAGAAACACAAACAGTTAAATCTTGTTAAAATAATTGCAATAAAATAGATGCTTAGCTTGAATATTGTTATTGGCTAAATATTTTCGCTAAGAATATTTTATAAAGTTTACAATTGAAACAATTCTAACCAATGTTAACTACTTTAGCCGACGAAATTGTCGAAATCTCGAAAAAGACGCAAGAAGGCGTGGAAACTGAAAAAGAAATCATCAAGAAGAGAGACAAGAAGTTTTCAGAAAATTCCCATTACGGATCTCGTGCCCAATACTATAACAATATAGGTTAGTTTATTTTAAGAATTTACACGCCTACAATATTCAATATTGCGTTAATATACTATCTATGTATAATCCATTTCCATTATCTAGTCTTGTCAATCATTATTTCAAATAATTATGTTCAATTTTTTAACAATCACTTATTTTTCATTACTTTGGACATTAATTTGTTTAGTATCATTTTTTTTTAAGTTCAGTAAATAGTGCATTTTTAGTTTTCATTTGTTTGAAGTTGTAATAGGTATCTTCATTATTACCTACTCGAACATCGAAATATCATTTAATTATGTAAGTGCTTTTATGATTAGTTCTATCTTATTATGGAGAAATTAAGGAGCAAATATGATCTCTATTATTAGTACAAAAGGGCTCTCTCTATCGTGATCGTGATTTTAGAAGAAACAACACCCAAGAGAATGATTATGAGAATGAAGAAACGAAGAAATGAGTATTTACAATATCAATTGCTTTTATAAGATTTTTATAACAATGAATTAATTTACAGTAATACAAAAACATGAATTTAGACTGTATTAACTATTTCGGTTACAGGGAAACCACACCGGGTCATTGAACTCGAAGTGCCAGGTTAGAAAGTTTTTTATAAAGCCTTCGATAAAGTAATTAAGGAGAAAATATAGAAACTTCAGTGAAAACACTTAAGTTTTTAAATAATTTACAAAGATAAGACATTTAAGAGAAATAAATATAATCACTTCTAAGATAAATAACATTACTTTTTACAAAATGAAATGGAGTAACGCAAGGGTTCATACTGGGGCCGATTCTTTTTATAGTGTCAAAAATTCAGAGATTTAACAGTAAAATTAACGCATAACTTCCAAAATAGATACGAATAATAATAGCAGAAAAATAGAAAAAAAGAAAGAAAGGTACGTTTATTACAAAATACTGATCATGAAATATATTTTCAGATGACAATGTAAATTATGAAGTGGTAACTTTACCAAAAGAAAGAGATAGCCCTATTGTTACTATGCAGTTAGTTCCGCTGGGTAAGTACTATAGAAATAGGACACAGCCACGGAATCAAGTAGTTTGATATAATTAAATTTATAAGTTGTTTAAGTCATGATACTTAGATCAAGAAAATCATTCAAGTCTTGTGAGCACCACGGACTAACAGAAGCATGGAAGAAGACATCTGAGAAACTTAGTTTTTGTGGTCCATTCCCTGGAATCGGTCTTTAATTAAATATCGTCATCTGTTTTTTTTTCAGGCTCAGGAGCACCAGGTAAGAAGTCACTTGGACGCTAAAATTAAAATAAATGTTGAACACCTGAATAAAGCGGTGTGCCACCGATACTTGCACAGAGAAATGCCTAGTTTGAGACTATGAAAGAATCAGTAATATATTTATTCACACGCGTGCGACTACATTGCCCGAAACGAATTTCTAATACCTACAATCGGGTTTTTAAAGTTTTCATGATCAAATTACCCCAAAATTTTGACGATATTGAATATTGTGTACAGAAGTTTTGTGCAACGTAGACCATGTTCTTTATAATAAGGTAAATTAAAGACGCCTATCAAGACGTCTAGGTAACATCAGTCCATTATCTTTCACAGGTCCTATAGCACCATGGCTTCCATCACCACCTCAGCAGCCACTACCATGGCAGCAATGGCCACAGCCACCAGTCCCATGGCACTTACAGCCACAGATTCCTCAATGGCAGCAGTGGCAGTCTTGGCCATGGCAGTTCCCAGTGGGACCAGTGAGTCCAGTGGGTCCTGTGGGTCCAGTGGGTCCAGTGAGTCCAGTGGGTCCAGTGAGTCCAGTGAATCCAGTGGGTCCAGTTAATCCAGTGGGTCCAGTGGCACCAGTGAGTCCAGTGGCTCCAGTGGCTCCAGTGGCTCCCGTGGCTCCAGTGGCTCCAGTGGCACCACCTCCACCAGTGCCACAACCAGGTAAATAACACGTTTTTTTTATATTTACCTAATAATAAAACGTTTTTAGTATTGTGCCTTGTCTTGACATTCATTGTTGGATTTACAGAACCGATTTCTTCCGAGTCTTCATTGAAGACTGAGTCAGAATATCACAATGCTCAATCACAGTCACAGAGGTCGAAAGCATCGCATAAATCGAAAAAGTGTAAGTTTTGATTTTGCTCTACTGTTTCAGGTTTGGTTACTACCTATATTTTTATTAATTAAAAATAATGGAAGATAGAAAAAAATATTGTTTGGTTCATAAAAACTATTTCACTCCAACATCTTGGAATTTTTTATTCCAGTTTGGATATTCGTTAAAACTAATGATATCGCTTCACCTAATTGACTATTTGCATTTGTGTATTAAATTGTTATTTTTTCTTCAGCTAAGACCGGTAGTTCTGGAAACCCAAGCGCAACTCCAGGTAAATATCTAATCTTTATTTTTATTAAACCAGCTAGTTTTTCAATCATTATTTTATCTTCTTCTTCTTGTCAACAAAAAACCTACACAGTGTCAGCTCAAAACTCTGCTACAAGAATGGCGTTATCAGTAGCATTCATAAAATCTTCCTGCGATGATACTTGATGACAAACCGAAGTATAAGTAAATCCGATCACAACAATTATTAACTTGTTGCAGTGACTATCATTGAAGACGAATCAAACGTGTCCTCCGAGTACCAACAGGCTGCCCAGTCTTCTCAGAGGAACTCTCTACAGGCGACCAACTCACAGACTACATGTATGTACCTATTTACCAAAAGAAGTCAACCCTGACATGTATTTGAGAAAATCCTTGCAAACATTTTTACAACGCCTAACATTTTGGGTTGTCAAATGAGCCGGGATAGATTTTAATGTAGTTGTTACGATTTAAATCTAGTTTATTAAAATCAGATGTGTATATTGATGATATTTTCATTGACAATTCAATTTATGGTCTTAATTTCGTTCTTTCAGCTGGGGTTGATGCATACGGAAACCCAGGTAATATACTTTTACCTCAATAAGACAAGTATTCATTCAAAGTTTATTGTACTGCATTTTTAAGTCATGTTAGTTTTTTTTGAAAACCGGTAAACTGACAAAAACTATCATTACAGTGATCATCGAGACAGAAGAGTCTGATTCAAACGAGTCATCGTCCAACCAGCAGTCAAGCCAGTACGGAAAGAACAGTGCTTCCCGATCATCTAGAATTATCGCTGCAGGTAACATTATAAAGCATGTAGCACACTAATCAAGCCGGAAAGGGATCGTAACATATCAACTCGAGGCGGTCAGTATTTTTCTTTGTATGAAACTCCATATAGCAACACACACTGATCCGCACCGTAACGTAAACGCCTCGCCTCGCGATTGACAGCGCGTGAAAGGCGATACGGAGTTGATCCCTTTTAGAGTTGATAAGTCTGCTATGAGTACTAAAATACTATATGGCTGTATAGAGATAGATATTATCGAGTTTTCGGGATTCGCACTCTGAGCTTTACTCAGAGTGCGAATCCCGGAAACTCGAGAACTAACTGAACGCTTTTTTATACTAAATATTATTACTAATTCTCAGGAACAGACTCACCAGTCGTCGAGGAGAGTTCATCTGAGGAAAGCTCCTCTTCACAGCAACAGTCTTCGTCTACACAGTCTTCAAGCTCTAAGAAATCTTCTAAAAAAGTTATTGGTAAGTAGATAGCTATAAGTAATAGAACTGACTGCCGATGGGGCAGCAAGGTTCTGGAGTGGAGGCCGCGTACCGGAAAACGTAGCATGGGACTTCCACCCACAAGGTGGACCGACGACATCATAAAGGTAGCAGGAAGGCGCTGGACGCAGGCCGCTACCAACCGGGCGACAAGGAAAGCATTGGGAGAGGCCTATGTTCAGCAGTGGACGTCTTATGGCTGAGATGAAGATGATGATGATGATTAAAACAACCATCCTCATTTTTCTTGTTTGTCAGAGGGATTTTCAAAGCTAAAAATTTTAATGAAATAAGTCTTTTGCTCTAAGAAAACATTTAATATTAAATTATATTTCAGTTATTTAAATCTATCCAATTAAAAATAAGAAAACAGTAATCAAATTCATGAAATATACTATGAGATTTCAACTTTATTCACAACAGGAACTAAACCAGGAGTAAAACCACCATGCAAAAAGCCAGGACAACAGCCAGGCTCTCCAGCCATACCAGGAACGCCAGCCTCTCCAGGCTCTCCAGGATCACCAGCCACTCCAGGAACTCCAGGGACACCAGCCACTCCAGGAACTCCAGGCACACCAGCCACTCCAGGAACACCAGGATCACCAGCCTCTCCAGGCTCTCCAGGCTCACCAGCCTCTCCAGGCTCTCCAGGATCACCAGCCTCTCCAGGCTCACCAGCCTCTCCAGGCTCTCCAGGATCACCAGCCTCTCCAGGCTCTCCAGGATCACCAGCCTCTCCAGGCTCTCCAGGCTCACCAGCCTCTCCAGGCTCACCAGCCTCTCCAGGCTCTCCAGGATCACCAGCCACTCCAGGAACACCAGGTAAGATAAATAGATTTTTTTTTTAAATATTTTAATTGTATAGCTTGCACCGGTAAGAAGCATTTTGTCATGACTTTAAAATCCAAAGAGTAAAAACAGAACCCTAACTGCTACACTCAACAAAATTATATCTAAGTAGCTTAGATGGTGAGAGATCAGTGACCCGGCAAACAAAAGAACGTGTGCTTCGATTCCCTTTTATCAGCTTTATATTTTATGTAATTCGACTTTTTCAAGTTTTTTAAGATTTAGCTCCAAATGGAATTATCAAAGCAATTTTTTTAAATAAAAACTATGACTTGATTAATTTCATACAATCTCATTTGATACCAGGAACGCCAGCAACTCCAGGCACTCCAGGAACACCAGCCACTCCAGGAACTCCAGGCACACCAGCCACTCCAGGAACTCCAGGCACACCAGCCACTCCAGGCTCCAGGCTCGCCATCCTCTCCAGGCTCGCCATCCACTCCAGGCTCGCCATCCTCACCAGGTAAGATTAATAGAAAAAACTGAGTAAAATTTTAATTGTATAGCTTGCACCGGTAAACCATAATATTAATCATATTGAACTTGGAAACGAAGCATTTTGTCATGACTTCGAAATCCACAGAACCATAACGACGACACTATAGCTACAAAATTATGTTTAAGTAGCTCAGATGGTGAGAGAGCAGTCACCCGGCAAGCGAAAGGTCGTGCGCTTCGATTCCCATTTCCACCTTACGTAATTCGACTTTTTCAAGCTATTTAAGATTTAGTTCTAGATGGGACTTTCAAAGCTATTTTTTTAATACCTATGACTTGATTAATTTCATAAAATCTCATTTGATACCTTATTATAAGATTAAAAAATGAAATTCTGAGTAACTATAACTTCAAGTTTATCAAATGAGGCTTTTGCTCTTCTATGAGAAAAGACAACAATTTAATACACCGTGTTATTTTAGTGGTTGTTTTCCTGCGGCAGAACGATATGGTAACCTTTAGCAGTATCTAGGTACTATGCAAAACATGCGAGTAATGTTAAGAAAATTTAAAAAAACATTGTTCTTAACTAATCAAAAAACAAATCATCAACTCGAAAGCCTGAAAAACGTGACGTATTTGGACACGGCACGCCGCACGAAATCAACGTTTGAATAAAAAAAACTTCCTTAAATTATTGTACTACTGAGATGATAATATAGAATTATTTTACTGCGGGAAAAAGAAACATACCAACCGAATTGAGAATCTCCTCCTTTTGTTGAAGTCGGTTAAAAAACTACTAATATTTCACGGTGAATAGGTATTACCTAAGTATGTCACAGTAAAAAATCCGTCCAAGACAATAATATAAGAAAACAGTTTTTTTTTATGCATAACAAGGCAGGTATTTGACCACAATCGCACCTGATGTTAAGTGATCAAATTTATTAAGATTTGTTACATCTATTTTATGAGATTTCAACTTTATTTAACCAGGAGGACCAGGAACCAAACCACCGTGCAAAAAGCCAGGACAGCAGCCAGGCTCTCCAGCCGTACCAGGAACGCCAGCCACTCCAGGAACTCCAGGCACACCAGCCACTCCAGGAATTCCAGGCACNTCTCATTTGATACCTTATTATAAGATTCAAAAATGAAATTCTGAATATTACTTCAAGTTTATCACATGAGGCTTTTGCTCTTCTGTGAGAAAAGATAACGATTTAATACACCGTGTAATTTTAGTGGTTGTTTTCCTTCGGCAGAACGATATGGTAATCTTTAGTAGTAGGTACTATGCAAATCATGCGAGTAATTTTAAGAAAATTAAAAAAAAAAACATTGTTCTTAACTGATCAAAAAACAAATCATCAACTCGAAAGCCTGAAAAACGTGACGTATTTGGACACGGCACGCCGCACGAAATCAACGTTTGAATAAAAAACTTCCTTAAATTATTGTATTGTACTACTAAGATAATAATATACAGTGTGAGTCACGTTAAAGTGTACATATGAAAATAGATGAAACTAGACCTATTTTTATCGACAAAAAAGAGGTAAAAAAATTTTTTTTTTTTAAATGTTTTATAGAATTTTTTTTCTTCAAATTACTTATTGTAAAGAAAACGTAATAACTTTTAAAATAAGCGGTATATCCTGATAAAATAAAAACAGTAACAATGCTAAATAACAGGCGATACTAAAAAAATACATAAAGTACACAAAAAAGGCCAACAAATTGTAAAAAGTGATACTTTTTGAAAAAAATCTGCTTTTAAATTCGTGTTTTTTTGGTTATTTGATAAATGTCTCCAAAAAATGCCCCTATAACAGGTGGTTTTTATTACTTTGTATTATTCTCTATCGTATTACCTTCGTATAACCAAAAATCGCATGTCTCTATCCCTATCACAACGTTTGCAATGATCGTTTGAACTAAGCCTCTCCGGGCGCGCCATTCAACGCTTCGTTAACAACGAAACTGAAAATGGCTCTAGATATGTAATTTTGATAAAGACAAGTTAGATTTCAAATAAAAACAAAAGATTTCGAAGTAAAATAAGCATTTTAGTTAAAATTAAAATTGTCTCTACCTGTAGCGGAGAATAATGTGGTGACAGGCCTTTGTTCAAACGATCATAGCAAATGTTGTGATAGGGATAGAGACGTGCGATTTTTAGTTTTACAAAGATAATANTAAGATTAATAGAAAAAACTGAGTAAAATTTTAATTGTATAGCTTGCACCGGTAAACCATAATTATTATATCATATTGAACATGGAAACGAAGCATTTTGTCATGACTTCGAAATCCAAAGAGTTAATACAGAACCATAACTACGACACTATACAAACAAATGTCTAATGCCCGTTTTCACCATCAATCTCTAATTTTTAAGTGATCACAATCACAAAATGACCTTCTGAAAATTAGAAGCCTTCAGTTTATCGAGTGTGAGAAAAGAAAACATTATATTTAACCAAGGTGACAATACTTTAAATCTGTTCAATACAATAGTAGAAAAAATAAATATAAAATAAAATAATGGTCACATGCATCTACTTTATGAACTTTTAACTTCATTCATAACAGGAACTACACCAGGAGGACCAGGTGTAAACCCAGGAGAGCAGCCAGGAGGCCAAACACCAGGAGGTGAGCAACCAGGTAACCAGCCTGCAACTCCAGGATCTCCAGGAACACCAGGCACACCAGCCACTCCAGGCACTCCAGGAACACCAGGCACACCAGCCACTCCAGGAACACCAGGAACACCAGGCACACCAGCCACTCCAGGAACACCAGGCACACCAGCCACTCCAGGCACTCCAGGAACACCAGGCACACCAGCTACTCCAGGCACTCCAGGAACACCAGGCACACCAGCCACTCCAGGCACTCCAGGAACACCAGGCACACCAGCCACTCCAGGAACACCAGGCACACCAGGAACACCAGGTAATATTAATAGAAAAAATGAGTGAAATTATAATTGTATTGCTTGCTCCGGTAAACCATATAATGTCATATTTAACTTAGAACGATGTATTGTGTCATGACTTCGACATCCAAAGAGTAAAAACAGAACCCTAACTACGACACTATAACAACAAAATTATGTACCTATAGGTAGCTCAGATGGTGAGAGAGCAGTCACCCGGCAAGCGAAAGGTCTTGCGCTTCGATTCCCATTTTCCACCTTATGTAATTCGACTTCTTCAAGCTATTTAAGATTTAGTTCCAGATGGGATTTTCAAGCTATTTTTTTTTAATACCTATGACTTGATTAACTTCATAAAATTTCATTTGATACCTTATTATAAGATTCAAAAATGAAATTCTGAATATAACTTCAAGTTTATCAAATGAGGCTTTTGCTCTTCTGTGAGAAAAGATAACATTTTAATACACCGTGTAATTTTAGTGGTTGTTTTCCTGCGGCAGAACGATAATATGGTAGCCTTAAGTAGTAGGTACTATGCAAAACATGCGAGTAATTTTAAGAAAATTAAAAAAAAGCATTGTTCTCAACTGATCAAAAAACAAATCATTAACTCGAAAGCCTGAAAAACGTGACTTATTTGGCCTGCACGCCGCACGAAATAACGTTTGAATAAAAAAAACTTCCTTAAATTATTGTACTACTAAGATAGAATCATTTTACTGCGGGAAAAAACCACTACTTCTACTTTATGAGATTTTAACTTTATTCAACCAGGAGGACCAGGTACCAAACCACCGTGCAAAAAGCCAGGACAGCAGCCAGGAAGCTCACCAGGACAACAGCCAGGAGGCTCGCCAGGACAACAGCCAGGAGGCTCGCCAGGACAACAGCCAGGAGGCTCGCCAGGACAACAGCCAGGAGGCTCGCCAGGACAAAGCTCGCCAGGACAACAGCCAGGAGGCTCGCCAGGAAGCTCACCAGGACAACAGCCAGGAGGCTCGCCAGGAAGCTCACCAGGACAACAGCCAGGAGGCTCGCCAGGACAACAGCCAGGAGGCTCGCCAGGACAACAGCCAGGAGGCTCGCCAGGAGGCTCACCAGGACAACAGCCAGGAGGCTCGCCAGGAGGCTCACCAGGAGGCTCGCCAGGAAGCTCGCCAGGACAACAGCCAGGAGGCTCGCCAGGACAACAGCCAGGAGGCTCGCCAGGACAACAGCCAGGAGGCTCGCCAGGACAACAGCCAGGAGGCTCGCCAGGACAACAGCCAGGAGGCTCGCCAGGACAACAGCCAGGAGGCTCGCCAGGACAACAGCCAGGAGGCTCGCCAGGACAACAGCCAGGAGGCTCGCCAGGACAACAGCCAGGAGGCTCGCCAGGACAACAGCCAGGAGGCTCGCCAGGTAATAACTATGACTTGATTAGTTACGTAAAATCTCATTTGATACCTTATTATAAGATTCAAAAATGAAATTCTGAATATTACTTCAAGTTTATCACATGAGGCTTTTGCTCTTCTGTGAGAAAAGATAACGATTTAATACACCGTGTAATTTTAGTGGTTGTTTTCCTGCGGCAGAACNAGGACAACAGCCAGGAAGCTCTCCAGGACAACAGCCAGGTAGCTCACCAGCTTCTCCAGGCTCACCAGCTTCTCCAGGTTCACCAGGCAGTCCAGGCACACCAGCCACTCCAGGAACACCAGGTACACCAGCTTCTCCAGGAACACCAGGCACGCCAGCCACTCCAGGAACACCAGCTACTCCAGGCACTCCAGGAACACCAGCTACTCCAGGCACTCCAGGAACACCAGCTACTCCAGGCACTCCAGGAACACCAGCTACTCCAGGCACTCCTGGAACACCAGGCACACCAGCTACTCCTGGAACACCAGGCACACCAGCTACTCCAGGCACTCCAGGAACACCAGGCACACCAGCCACTCCAGGAACACCAGGCACACCAGCTACTCCTGGAACACCAGGCACACCAGCTACTCCAGGAACACCAGGTAAAATTAATAGAAATAAATTACATATTAAACTTAGAAATAAAGCATTGTGTCATGNCTCCTGGAACACCAGGCACACCAGCTACTCCTGGAACACCAGGCACACCAGCTACTCCAGGAACACCAGGTAAAATTAATAGAAATAAATTACATATTAAACTTAGAAATAAAGCATTGTGTCATGACTCATGACTTCGACATCCAAAGAGTAAAAACAGAACCGTAAGTACGACACTATAACAACAAAATTATGTCTTAATACGGCCAATGAGAAGCGATACCAACTGTAAAAAACCCAATGTCATGGTCATTTGGAATAGCAGCGGTTTGACTTAGACATATTTTGGCGGGAAAACGAGACATTACAACAAATACACAAGATGGGAAGAGACAGAACATATTGTCAGTTCGACAGTCGAATCGACCTTTTGTATCGCTGCTAGTTGACCGCATTTTAAGTAGCTCAATGGTGAGCGAGCAGTCACCCGGCAAGCGAAAGGTCTTGCGTTTCGAATACCAGTTTCCACCTAATGTAATTCGACTTTTTCAAGTTATTTAAGATTAAGATCCAGATGATATTTTCGATGCATTTTTTATCAATAACTAAGACTTGATGATTTTCCTAAAATCTCATTCATACAAAGATTCAAAATTTTAATTCTGAAAGTTACTTTAATTTTAACAAATGAGGCGTTTGTACTTCGGTGACAAAAGATAACATTTTAAAACACCGTGTTATTTTAGTAGTTCTTTGTTTTCCTGCGGCAAAACGATATACCTACCTTTAGTGGTACTAGAAAGAAAGAAAGAAAGAAAGACACATTTATTACAATGGACATCACACAAATACAGGCAATTACATAGACATGACAGTGGCACATAACAATGGAAGAAGAAAAAATAAAAACAAGAGTAAACTGAGCAGTGCCACCCATCCACCAACAAGATGCCCACTGCAACGGGACCCCACTCAGCATATGCCGTGGCCCACGGTGACGAAGGCCACGGCGCTGGTTTTCAGTGTGCCCCATGCCGAGTGAGGGTCACGGACCATTTTTAAAATAAATAAAATACTAAGCTGCATAAAATTGTCTAATATTGTACTATGAAAAGCATGCAAGTAATCGCATAAAATTGTACTACGTAAAGCATGCGAGTAATTTAAATGAAATTTAAATATCATTTTTTTTACCAATCTAAATACTTAGCATCAAGTCGAAAGCCTGAAAAATGTGACGTATTTGGACACTGCACGCTGCACGAAATCAACGTTTGCATAAAAAAGCTGTCGTAACATCTTGTACTTCTAAGATAGCATGATTTTTCTGCGGAAAAAAACCACTAATAATTCGCGGTGAAAATTAACCTATGTCACAGTATTTTAAGACCGTCCAAAACAATATAAGAAAACAATGATCAAATTCTTTAAGATTTGTTACTACTACTTTATGAGACTTCAACTTTATTCACAACAGGAACTCAACCAGGAGGACCAGGTACCAAACCACCGTGCAAAAAGCCAGGACAGCAGCCAGGACAACAGCCAGGGCAACAGCCAGGACAACAGCCAGGAAGCTCGCCAGGACAACAGCCAGGAAGCTCGCCAGGACAACAGCCAGGAAGCTCGCCCGGACAACAGCCAGGAAGCTCTCCAGGACAACAGCCAGGTAGCTCACCAGCTTCTCCAGGCTCACCAGCTTCTCCAGGTTCACCAGGCAGTCCAGGCACACCAGCCACTCCAGGAACACCAGGTACACCAGCTTCTCCAGGAACACCAGGCACACCAGCCACTCCAGGTACTCCAGGAACACCAGCCACTCCAGGCACTCCAGGAACACCAGCCACTCCAGGCACTCCAGGAACACCAGGCACACCAGCTACTCCAGGCACTCCAGGAACACCAGGCACACCAGCCACTCCTGGAACACCAGGCACACCAGCTACTCCTGGAACACCAGGCACACCAGCTACTCCAGGAACACCAGGTAAAATTAATAGAAATAAATTACATATTAAACTTAGAAATAAAGCATTGTGTCATGACTCATGACTTCGACATCCAAAGAGTAAAAACAGAACCGTAAGTACGACACTATAACAACAAAATTATGTCTTAATACGGCCAATGAGAAGCGATACCAACTGTAAAAAACCCAATGTCATGGTCATTTGGAATAGCAGCGGTTTGACTTAGACATATTTTGGCGGGAAAACGAGACATTACAACAAATACACAAGATGGGAAGAGACAGAACATATTGTCAGTTCGACAGTCGAATCGACCTTTTGTATCGCTGCTAGTTGACCGCATTTTAAGTAGCTCAATGGTGACGAGCAGTCACCCGGCAAGCGAAAGGTCTTGCGTTTCGAATACCAGTTTCCACCTAATGTAATTCGACTTTTTCAAGTTATTTAAGATTAAGATCCAGATGATATTTTCGATGCATTTTTTATCAATAACTAAGACTTGATGATTTTCGTAAAATCTCATTCATACAAAGATTCAAAATTTTAATTCTGAAAGTTACTTTAATTTTAACAAATGAGGCGTTTGTACTTCGGTGACAAAAGATAACATTTTAAAACACCGTGTTATTTTAGTAGTTCTTTGTTTTCCTGCGGCAAAACGATATACCTACCTTTAGTGGTACTATGTAAAGCATGCGAGTAATTTAAATGAAATTTAAATATCATTTTTTTTACCAATCTAAATACATATCATCAAGTCGAAAGCCTGAAAAATGTGACGTATTTGGACACTGCACGCTGCACGAAATCAACGTTTGCATAAAAAAGCTGTCGTAACATCTTGTACTTCTAAGATAGCATGATTTTTCTGCGGAAAAAAACCACTAATACTTCGCGGTGAAAATTAACCTATGTCACAGTATTTTAAGATCGTCCAAAACAATATAAGAAAACAATGATCAAATTCTTTAAGATTTGTTACTTGTACTTTATGAGACTTCAACTTTATTCACAACAGGAACTCAACCAGGAGGACCAGGTACCAAACCACCGTGCAAAAAGCCAGGACAGCAGCCAGGACAACAGCCAGGACAACAGCCAGGAAAACAGCCAGGGCAACAGCCAGGACAACAGCCAGGTAGCTCACCAGCTTCTCCAGGCTCACCAGCTTCTCCAGGTTCACCAGGCAGTCCAGGCACACCAGCCACTCCAGGAACACCAGGTACACCAGCTTCTCCAGGAACACCAGGCACGCCAGCCACTCCAGGAACACCATCTACTCCAGGCACTCCAGGAACACCAGCTACTCCAGGCACTCCAGGAACACCAGCTACTCCAGGCACTCCAGGAACACCAGCTACTCCAGGCACTCCTGGAACACCAGGCACACCAGCTACTCCTGGAACACCAGGCACACCAGCTACTCCAGGCACTCCAGGAACACCAAGCACACCAGGGACACCAGGTATGATTAATAATAGAAATGAAATACTCTTATTGCACTTGGAAATGATACATAATGTCATGACTTCGATAACCAAAGAGTAAAATCAGAATCCTACTCAGACACTACAATATTACAACAATTACAAATGTCTAGGTTCTAGGTTAACGTGACAGTGCAATCACTAGCAATCGCAAGCAAAAGGTCGTGCGTGGCTTCGGTTTCCATTTCCCACCTTATTTAATTCGACTTTTTTAAGTTATTTAAGATTAATTTCGAGATGGGACTTACAAAACTAAATAATAACTTTGTCTTGATTGATTTCGTAAAATCTTATTTGATACTAAATCTAACTATACTTATAATAAATCTGTAGAGAGATCAATTCTGTACATGAAATATATTTTCAAAATAACTATCAGGGGGTGATTAGTGATTGATACTGATGCCAAAAATGCAATCAGTAAAAATTTTGTCTGTCTGTCTGTCTGTCTGTCTGTCTGTCTGTCTGTCTGTATGTTCCTTATAGAAACAAAAACTACTCAACGGATTTTAACGAAACTTAGTACAATTATTCTTCATACTCCTGGGCAGGTTATAGGATACTTAGGAATTCCCACGGGAACGGGAATTAGCGGGAAATTCCTTTTGTATGAAAAATCTAAACCGCTTAAGTTAGATGCTTGAAATTTGGCATGCAGATACCTTAGTAAACTTAAAGCTTAGTTGCAACAGGATATTGCAAAATTCCCACGGGAACGGGAGTTAGCGGGAAATAACATTTGTATGAAAAAATCTAAACTGCGTAAGATAGACTCTTGAAATTTGACATGAAGGTATCTTAGTAAACTTAAAGCTTAGTTACAACAGGATATTGCAAAATTCTCACGAGAACGGGATTCGCGGGAAAAAACATTTGTATGAAAAAATCTAAACCGCGTAAGATAGACGCTTGAAATTTGGCATGCAGGTACCTTAGTAAACTTAAAGCTTAGTTTCAACAGGATATTGCAAAATTCCCACGGGAACGGGAGTTCGCGGGAAAAAACATTTGTATGAAAAAATCTAAACCGCGTAAGATAGACGCTTGAAATTTGGCATGCAGGTACCTTAGTAAACTTAAAGCTTAGTTTCAACAGGATATTGCAAAATTCCCAAGGGAACGGGAGTTAGCGGGAAAAAAATTGCATGAAAAAATCTGAACCGCGTAAGATAGATGAAGGGGGGGTAAAACGAGATCCACGCGTACGAAGTCGCGGGCGGCCGCTAGTTCTAAATATTATTTAAGGTACATGTTTATCAAACGAGCCTGAAAAGATAACATTTTAATACACCGTGAATTAGCGGTTGTTCTGAATCTAAACCGCTTAAGTTAGACGCTTGAAAGCTTAAAGCTTAGTTACAACAGGATAGTGCAAAATTCCCGCGGGAACGGGAGTTAGCGGGTAAAAACATTTGTATAAAATAATCTAAACCGCGTAAAATAGATGAAGTAGGTAAAACGGGATTCATGCGTACGAAGTCGCGGGCGGCCGCTAGTTTTAAGTAGGTATAGATATAGATGTCACAGTACTTTAAATCTGACAATACAAACAATTTAAGAGACAATGGTGATCAAATTCATTAAGATTTGTTACTTCTTTTTTATGAGATTTCAACTTTATTCACAACAGGAACTCCAGGAGGACCAGGTACCAAACCAGGAGGCCACCATCCAGGAGGAAAACCAAAACCAGGCAAAGGAAAGGGCCGGATTTGCGTCTGTTGGGAAGAAATTGAGGAAATACCCTCGAACATTCTCAAACAAATCGGTTACTGGAGCCGTTAAGAGTTTAACGTACCTCCGCGGCAGACTTCACACTACTCACTGATGGCAATATGAAAAGTAACTCGAAAATGTTTTTCTGTATGTATCCATATTAAGCATTACAAAACCCAATTGTATAATTGGACAAAAAAATTTCAATAAATTAATTTGTGTTTGAAATAAATTGCAGTTTTATTTTTATCTTTTAACCGTAGTAGTTAGGATTATTCTTGAATTCTAGTACATTCATACTTTAAACACACAAAATAATGTGCTTGTACACTCGAAGTCAAAGAAATCGCACCTTCCGCGCCAATATCTGTTACTTGGAAAAAGACAATGTGTGGGCTCACCTCTTGGACCAATTAGACCAATTATTGTGGTTATAAAACCAAATAATGATCTCACGTGTCCTCTGTAACAGATGGATAGCTATTAATCCCAATACAACAGTTTGATAACCATAAAACTTGGCTCAAGCATTTGCATAAGTGCATGGGGATGCATAGTCGTTTGAAAGTGCTTGTCGCGGGAGGTGCGATTTATTAATTGACGCCGAGTGCAGTCAGAACAAAAGACACTTTTAGGTACAATGGACATCATACAAACAGACAAAACATTGGCACGTAGTAATAATAAGAAAGGTTAATAATTAAAGAATAATGTAAGAGTAATGTAATGTTTCAGTATTTCTGTGAAACAAATGAATTTGAATTTGAATAATTAGTTCGGGACACCGAGAGTAGCCAAAAAGTTCGCAACATCTTTTTTACAATGGATGTTGTGTTATCGGCTTTTTTTCACTTTGGGCTTTATTAATCTAAGACTTTGGGTGTCACAGAGTAGGTATTTGACGATTACTGTAAACACCACACACACAAGCTTTTGTTTAACTTGCAATGTTAAGGGCTACTTTCATTTCACTTACAATTTTAAAAACACAGGTTCAGGGAGCACCTCAAACTAGCGACTGCGTAAAAATTGTTTATTTCAAACATCTTTAAACAAAACATAACGCTTATAAGACTAATTACAGTACAACAGTACCTATTAATAAATGTAAAAAATACAGTACAGTATTTATTTATTAATTTATTTACTTATGGCCTTAGATTAATAAAACCTAAGCTTATGGCGTAACTTAACTATATTCTTCATAGATTTTTTGACGCACTCGCTAGCGACGAAGTTCAATGCAAACTCGCACTAAGCACCATAGCTGTTGACGAAACATATTTTATCCCACTGCGCCAGAAAGAAAGTGTTTTTTTTTTATCGTATATTGCAAAAATAACAGTGTCTAAGTAAGTAAGTAGCTCACATGGAAGAGTAGTCACGCGACATGCGAAGGTTCGAGGGTTCGTTTCCCACCTTGCAATAGGCTAGTTGCCTAAAAAAATTTTTTTAGTCCGTAATGTTTAATATCAAAAAATATTGGACACATATATTTTTATTTGTCAATCTAACAAATAATTACATAGTTATGGTGCGTTGAAGTTGCGCACGACGTCACAACGTGCGGCATTTTTAAGCAAGCTTTGACGTCACGGGCCTCTTCTTATGAATTTTGGGGCGCTTTATCTCTTTAAATTTTCATTAGTTTGAAAAAGTGAAAAATACGTGTAGAGTATTTTTTGATAAGTTAACTGACGGACTAATTAAAACTCTTGCTTTTTGACCCAGGCAACATCCCCTTCAAGTCATTCATTTTACAACCTGAGGGCCTAGTGTGAGTTTGATTTAAATCAAACGGTCTCACTAGTGAGCGCGTCAAAAAATGACATGATTGTATGACGGATTGTACAGCGCCCCTAGAGGAAAACGTTCAAAAACTAAAATTTCCATACATGATGAATGTAAACTCACACTCAGCCCACCGTGCACCGGTCGAGTTAACGGCGCACCGGTACGGACGGATCATTTTACTGATAAGTAAGTAAGTATTGTCACAGTATATATTAAGCTTGTGGTATTGTGGTACCCACAACAACCACCCGGTCCGCCAAGCACCTCTCGCGACCCTCACCAGATCGTCGGTCCACCTAGTGGGGGCCTGCCCACACTGCGTTGTGGAAATCATTGGGGGAGGCCTTTGTCCAACTTTGTACTCCAACCGTGATTTAGGTATCTACTTACTGCCCGTTTTCACCATCAATCCCTAATTTTTAAGTGGTATGGTAACATAATATGAATTTTGTTTTCATAGGTGTCACTTAAAAATTAGGGATTGATGGTGAAAACGGGCATAGGTGATCTAAGTAGTAACCTACTTTATCTATTAGGTATGTAAGTAAGTACCTACTTACCTGAATGATGACTTCCTTCACACATGGTAGTATTATTTTACTTAATTGAATGATAGTGCTAAGTAGGCACTTACCTATAATAATTAACGCTAATTTAAAAGTACTGAAACTTCGTTAAAACTTGCAATTTTTCAATTAAGAAATAAAATTAATTAAACAATTGAAAAAGGGTAGGTACCTACATGTTCCCTGTGAATGAAACATACAACGATCTAAAAAAACAAAGGAACGTGTACAGAAAAAAAAGTTGAAAAAGGCGGGATGCCAAATCAAGGAGGTTGGATTTGAAACAGTTCCGTTTAAATAATTAGGTACCTAGTAGGTACCTATCTACCTTGTAAGTTGTAACTACAACTTTGTAGCCAACTTGGTATGTCAAGTCAATGTTATTTATAAACGGTGTTTCGCTCACACAGTAGCAATGCACGTATTGCACGTACGTATCTACAAATTTTACCTTAAAGTTTTCATTTTCATAAAACCAGCTAAAAACTTATTTGTATTCCATGCTCGTAAAAATAAGCTCTATCTTTTTTTCACTTGGTGAAATCAGCTTAAAGTGGTAACACTGACTAGTGTAGTGATGTACCTACCAAGTTGGAAAAATAGTTGTTAAAAAAAAGTAAAATTTTCGCGTTTCGTGAATATTTTCAATAAAACTCTGATATCTAAAGATTGTGTTATATTGGTATGTAATAGTACTCGAAAGTCGGTAAATCACTTAAATAAATAATGCAGAACTGTACTTACCATGTTACTTTTTAACTATAATGTCAATATCGTATGTTCTTCCGAACAATCAATAAAACTACTAGCAAGATTTTGATTCTAAAGTTGATAAGATAACGTTATAAGCTTTTTGTTGTTTTTTTCCTAAACATACCTACCAATCGACTTACAAATAAATAACTAACCAGAAAACAAAAGAAGTAATATTACGCTTAAATACAAAAAAGACAGCAACAAAATTGAATATCAAGTTATTAATTTTGTCACTAATTCGAAAGGTAAAACGAGATTTTTTATAAAATTAAAATAGAATAGTGTAATAATGTCATAATATGATTTCAAACTGCTGAAAACGAGGAGAAATAATAAGTCCTAAGTTCCTAACTTATTAAACTACATAGTAATAAAACATGCAGCTAGAATAAAACGCTTCTATAAAGTAGTATTTTGAGGCTAGAAGTTAGTTTGAGGATATCACCAAGATTCAATAAAATATGGACTAATTACAATGTAACAACATTGTGTTTCCCAAAAAAGTAATAGTTGAACTAGTCTTATTCTGTTATAATAATAGAAATGATCACTTAAATTTATAAAGATAGCTAGAAGTGTTACAGCACTATGCCCATCTATCTCTTTCTATTTGTATCAAAATAAAAGACGAGGTTATAGTCTACATCTTTTGTCTCTTTCTCTCTACGTGTTTACGACGTCAATTCCCAAGTTAGATTTGCAGTTTATAGTGGCGCTAGTGTCTACGCAAGCTGTCAAAGTTATTATCAAAAATGGTTAGTTTGGTTTTTTATCCACCGGCATTCGTAACATTGTCGTACAAGCAAGTGACAGGTACGGCGTTTCTTCATCTCTTTTTTTGATGACGACAGCTCATCCAATATCCATGTTCAACACACTCATGCGCAAAGGACGTGGATTGTAGACGTGCGAAAATATTGCGAATTTATCGAAACACAAATAACTCAGTTTCCAGGAACTCAGTGTTATCTCAGTGTGCATTAAAAAGAGTGTTTACTTGTTGTTGATGTGCTAAAATACTGGATTGCGGTGCTTGTGCTGTGGATCAGTGAGTCTACTTCAACGCGAAAGGATTTTTTTTGCATTCATTCACCGATTATTATGTTTCTTCGATTACTAAGGTGAGTGGCCTAGATCTACAAGCATTTTTTTTTAATGCATGTAACCTGTAAAAGTAGTTGCCTTGACTTGTTGCTGGCTGTCAAAGATATGGATTCCAATTTTGAATTTTGAAAAACAAAACATGGTGTGCATTAAATAAAAAAGTTATTCTCTAGTACTGCAGGTTACCCATCATCTTTATGTAGCCTAAAATAAAATACATTTGAGCATGGAATTTGTAAAATATTGTTCAGACTCAAAATGCACTGTTAATAATTAACAACAAAATGTCTGTGAGTACTCAGAATGCTGTACCAAATATAAAAACTAACCACATTTTTTTTTATCTATCCATCCAATATAAGCGCATAAAATTATACATGTGACATCTTTTAGAAATAAATACTTTATTGTTCATCATCATCATTAGAGATGAAACGGATAGTTGTTTGGCCGGATACCGGATACCGGATATCCGGCCAGCTGCTAGGCCGGATAGCCGGATATCCGGCGGCCGGATAGTTGGCCCATTGTCTCGTTGCATGTCGTGACGAGTATAGTGCCGCACAGGTGCTTCGAACGCGATCAGTGGGTCTATTAGTAGAATAGACTAGTCACACTTTTGGAAAATCGAATCCGTCCGAATAGAATGTCAGATTTTGCCACTTGTCTAGGGGGCAGATCAATTCAATTTCGGCTGCAATAGTGAGTGTGTGATTGAATAGCGAAAATTTAACTATACTGGTCATCACAAAAATCGGCCCACCTACGTTTTACATTAAAACTCGTTTCTACTGACACAGTCATGGTTCCCCAACAATATTGGTGTTATTTGAAAGCCCAATAAATATCCTTAAAGATAATCACATTTAATTTCTTAATAAACGATTAACATAAACGCGATATACAATAAATGTGACTTGAAAAAAGACCTCACTTTGGGCTCACCTCTGGGATCAATTAGACCCATTTTTATGGTTATAAAACCAAATAATAATCTCACGTGTCCTCTTTAACAGATGGATAGCGATTAATCCCAACTTAACAGTTTTATAGCCATAAAAGTTAGCTCAAGCGTAACTACCTATTTTTTGAAGAAATGACTCTGGATTCTTCTACAGACACATTTTTGGGGTAAAAACCTTTCCTTTAATGAAATGAAGTTTAGAACTAGGCTTTTAAATGGTGCCTATTGGCGGGAAGTGGGGATGCATACGTTTGAAAGTGCTTGTCGCGGGAGGGTCGATCTTTGTGATGACCAGTGTAGTTGCATGATGTCATCAGACCATCAGTGAAAAAAAAATCGCCTATTTTATTTGGCAATATTTCGACATTAAAGGATATTTACTATTTATCTATGTATTCGTCATTAGAGTGAATAGCCCAGAAAAATAAATTAGTTTTGAAAGGCCTTAATATGGCTTTTTTGTAACTTTTTGGACTTTAAATAAAAGCCGTCATTATTGTAAGCCATTTTATTGATATTTACCTCAAAGATTAATGTATTTCATTTTATTAATAGGAAATTGTCGTTTTTTTTTAATATCCGGTATCCGGCCGGATAGTGAGTTACTATCCGGTATCCGGCCGGATAGTAAATTAGGGCCGGATATCCGGCCTACCGGATAGTTGCCGGATATCCGTTTCATCTCTACATCATCATCATTTCAGCCACAAGACGTCCCCACTGCTGAACATAGGCCTCCCCCAAAGATTTATGTAATATTAAATTATCTTTACTTTTACTTACTTACAGTTCCTATTTTAACAATATCAATAAAATAAATGACCTCACATTATTTAATTTCATTCCGTAAAATGGTTTCAGTGTCATCGATACTTTCTCTTGATAAACAAACGCTGATTATGTAACGTGGACAACAATGTTTCGGTTTGGTGTAGGTTATGGTTTACAGTAGCAGATGTAATACAATAAGTGCTCATACTTAGCTAATAAATGTTTTATTGTTATTACATGACTTTGTTCGAATCAGGGCCGGACCAAGATTTTAGGGGGCCCTGAACTAATACTGCTTAGGGCCCACCTAATTACTCAATGGAAAAAAACAAAATGGGACAGTAAAATATTTGACTTGAATAAGCTGGGGGCCCCTTGAATCCATGGGGCTCTGGGCTGAGGCCCAAAAAGCCATAAAATATGGTAAATCCAACCCTGGTTTGAATGATTACTAGCATTGATACTCATGGATGTTTGAAGTGTAGTACATTACTCATACGTCTATTTTATGACCCTTTTATGTCACTTACTGTTAGTTTTGAGCTTGTAAGAAGTACCATAGAGGGAACAATTTATTGTTATTTCTTCGTACTGTACATTGAGAGTCTTTTATTAATAAATCCAATCTATATCAGTTATGCTTTAGTTACATTTTCTGTACTTATTGACCGAGCTGAGAATAAACACTAAACCTATGTGCTGTGTACTATCCTTAAATAAATAAACCTAAATGGATGAACCATGTTATTTCTGGCTCTTGGAACTGAAATGGCGATCGCTTTTTAAAATAGAATAAATTCTGTACTAAAAATATAGACCCTTATTGTACCTTATTGTACCAGTTTTAAGCGTTGATTAATATAGAAACGTCATTTAAACTAGTGTTTTCAAGACCTGTCTAACGTATCAGTAGGTTAGGGCGTAGGGGTAACGATAAGAGAGTTGAAGGAGTTCCTAGTTCGGAGTTTTTACTACAAGTCAATCAACTAACTTTAAATCAATTTATCAATGCCAAAGCAACTAAAGATCTACCACCACTTTTAAGTATACGGTTGATTCAAGAGTTTTTAAAACCAGTGAGGTATTAGAAACATTGTGCCATTTAACATGGTTGCTGTTAATACTCTTATCTAATTTAACTTGCAAAGACAAGTGTATTAAAATTCCTCCGACTTCGGCGGGGTTTGCCCGCAAACAAAATGAAAATACACACATACACACTTTAGATCCATGACACACAGTTGCATGTTTTACATGTTTATCAACAAGTTGACCGGGCATCCCGAGCAGCAAGATCGACAGAGACAGATAGCGTGAGAGCGGGACAACTGTACGTTTGTCAATGAGGATCAGTACTGTTGTAGAAAATTCAATAAAACTAGTATCTACGTTAATCTTTAAGACATAAGAAAGATATATCTTTTTGAATTATCCAAATCGGACCATTACTTACGAAGATATTAAGTAATAAACATAGGCCGTTTTTGCCGCTAAAAGTCAACGTACGCAAGGCCGCGTGACGTCATTATATCCGAATCGAGCGCAGCCGGCGTACTAATGGGATGGAAAATATTTTTTTCCGGCTAAACTATCAGTTTTAGAAAAAAACTTTTAATAACATTTATTCTTCAAAATAAAGTAACCTATCGACCAGTAATTTTTAAAAATAAAAATTGTGAAAAATAAGTATTGCTATGTCCAAAAACCACATTTTCATAGGATTCGATGCAATGCGGAGACGCGGTTGGGGTGAGTGTAACTTAATGATTGTTTGTATTGAACATAATAATACTTAATATGATGCTAATACCCAGTTTCTGGCCTGGGGGGGGGTACACTTTATTTGAATAAATCGCCAAATATACCACCGCGGAGACCCCAATCGCGTCTCTGCGTGCCATTGAATCGTATGAGCGTATGGATTTTTTGCGTTATTTTTCACAATTTCCATTTTTAAAAATTACCTATCGATAGCTTACTTTATTCTGATGAATAAATGTCATTACAAGTTTTTCTCTAAAACTGATAATTTGGCTAGAAAAAAATATTTTCTATCCACGCAGTACGCCGGCAGCGTTCGGATCGGATATAATGACGTCATCGTCCCCGCGCCGGGCGGTCAGTGAACTTTTTTAGTAATTTGGCCATAACTTCGTCAATTTTTGTCGTAGAACAAAAATTTTTGCACTGTGTATTAAGGATTTCTTAGCCCTATACATCTGCATTCACAGCTAAAAATCGAAATGATCCTCATTAGGTGACTCAAGGCCGCCGGGTGCGCACCTATGGTTACAGTTCGCGCCAATTGAAAGTAGCAATTTTGTTGACTAGATTTTGCCCGCGGCTTTGTTTGCGTGAAAATCAGTTTGTAAAATTGTCACGGAAAGGCCGCCTAACTTGTCAGTTATCGTTGTTATTGGGCTAATTAACTCAGTCATTCTGAAACAATTAATACTGTAAAATTTTCTCATAATCCGTTCAGTAGTTTTTGCGTGAAAGAGCTACAAACATTCATCCATCATCTTAAACTGAACACATAATATTAATATCAATAGGATTGTACTTTTCACTTTTTTAGTATCCTTCTTAATATCATTTTATCTTTGCAATCAAAGATAGTTTAATACATTTGATGCATAAATAAATAGCTGTTATGCTAATAAAATGTTATTCGGCTTTATTTGTTACAATTCCTCTGCTTACATTATTCTGCCTACATTATTACAGATTGATATTGTGCTGTGTGCTATCCTTAAATAAATAAAATAATAAAATAAATACAAAAATTGCCATTTCCATTGGCGATTGACTATACATAGTAAGGATGCAACTCCCGCGCAACATTCTGCGATCGCACGCCGCAGATGCGTGATCATTATAAATAGACACAGAATTAGCCATTTTTGACGAGTACAGACGACAGCTTATCAAGTTAAATAATGTACATATTTAGTGCTATTTTTGAACAAAAAAATAATAATATGATAAACCTATATTAATTAAGACCTTATTTCAAGTCAAGTCGTTTTGAAGGTATTAACTATCTCCTGAAAATCTGACTTACCCCCCCTAGGCCAGAAGCTGGATATAACTTGCCCTCCGCGACCGCGACCGAGCCCCCATCTGCTCAAAAGATCTTTTTCCAGATGATAAGGGCCCCCCTTGATCCTTAAGTGCCCAGGGCCCCTAGTAGGTTAAAGACGGCCCTGAGTCTACACCAATTTTAATGGGTGGAAGAACCCTAAAGTCACAGACCGCGGTAAAAATATTGATTTCTATTGT